AATTTAAAAATATTTTTGAAATCTTTCATTAAAGCAACCTTTCTTAACCAGTTATTATACCTGCACAAAGGTTTTTTTTCTGGGAAAGGATATTTGTGTTTGATGGAAAAACTGCAATACATACTTTAGTACGACAAATGGTATTCTGGGTCATCTGACAATCAAGATGTTTTGTGCTTGTGCAGGTTTATAATCTTGTGGTGCTAAAGATGATTGTCTATATCCGAGGTCGACTACCAACACATGGGTTTTGCGTAGAGTCCCACCCTGTTTTTGCATGTTTATCTTCCAACTATATATTGCTGCTCTGAAGATGAAAACCTTTGAGTAGGCCTGGCACATGACCTGTATGTGTGTCAACTGTCTCTGGTTTGCAAACATTAAATATCCTGTTTTGATGATTTTACACTGGTGTCGGGTGAGAATTTTTCTTTTTACAACAGTAAACAAGAAACAAGAAACATCTGGTTAGATGTTCCGGCAATATCCCCCTTTCTCTGGAATATCTGCACACTTTACCTATTTATTCATAAGAGAGTCTACAGGAAAGTCAGTAAAAAGGTTTGCTCTATTTTTCTTGCCTTACTCTCCTCTGGCCATCTACACACCTGCCCTTAATCAACCTTGTTATCTCTCCAGCCAATCAGCTTCCGCCTATTCACCTTAGGAAGTGTAACATATGCTATTAGCAAATAGAAGAAAATTACAAGCATGTCAACAAAATCTTCACAGTTATTCCATTACTCGCTACGCTCAGTAAAACTCACTGAAATTGTTGCCAAAAGCACTCATTATATTATCATCCAGCAGATTTGTTTTGTTTTTCAAGCAAGAGAAAGGAATACCTCCAGTGACTAAGGCTAATCCAGATCAGACTGTGTTTGTGTGTAAATGATGCGTTTGTTCCAAAAAACTGAGAGGAGTATCAAAATTGCCTAATCATCAAGGAATAGAATTTGGCAGCAATACACACAGTGAGCATGGATGAGACTAATTTACTAAACATACCCTCCAGTCTCATAATTATATGTAATTTTACCGGTGTAATTAACTAATTTAATTTACTACTCCTCAAGAGCATCAATTATTGATATTAGTGAGTTTTTGATTGGTAGGAGCTTCCTCTGAAGGGGCCACGCACTAAGAGGGTGTTAACACCTTTTTGGCTTTCCAAGCTTTTGGCCCAGTTTCTTGCTAGCCTCCTTTAAGGGGTGGAACAAGAGAGAAAAAGAGCCAACGGGGGGGGGGGGGGGGGGAGGAAATCAGAGTGAGCGTGCCATCGCAGACGTCCAGTGTTCCATCGCACGGTTAATTAGAGCTTTACGTTGGCCTCATGAGAAATCTCGGAAGTGGACAAATTAAGCCTTTTGCCCTTGGCTGGCTGGTTGTCGGCCAGGATATGTTGTGCCTCAAAGGCTGTTACACACTGTTTTGGTTTTCATGCGATAAATTTGCAGGTCAATATACGGTAGCCCCATCCTAAAGTAACGCCAGTTTATGGTCTATATGACTCTAAATGGAACTAAATTAACATCCCGCTGTATTGAATACTTGGATGTTTAAAATTGAGACCTTGAATTCATGTTTACAACATTTGCTGAGGGAAAAAGATCAAAAGAGAAGTAGGGTCATTTTCTCATAGACTTTCATGCAACCAGGGGAGTCGTCCCACTTTCCGGACATTAGAAAGTATGGAAGTTCTAAACAGTGTAGTAACTTTTACAGCAGCATTTAGAAGTTTTCACAAACATAGTGGTGTTTTTATCTCCTGCTTAAATTTATTCAAACCGTTTTATTGAAAATGGTCCTAAACTGTCACAAATTGGTATTGTTGCCGGTATGAAAAACTATAAAACTATTTTTTTAACTTACTCATCATGCCAATAAACACAAAGTACAATGTGAATACGCTAAAAGCTTAAAATTGATGATATGACCCACTAAATATTTTTTAAAGGTTTGTGCTATTTATGCCTGAAGACCTCCATCAAATCATTCAAAAAACAAAAAACCCGACAATGTAGATATTAATTGTCCATTATTCATCCTCAATTAGAAAAACAACAACAAACTGTAGGCTGGAATGTTTGAACTAAGTCCAACAGGCACTGCGTCTATTTGTCATTTTCATAACCCTGCCAGCTGGTGTCCCCATGTAAAGTGAATGTGTGTATGTTGACCAAACCAGCACCGCAATCAAAGGCCATCTTTATTATTTAATATTCTTGGCAGTTTACACGTGTAATATCCATATTCAAATTATTAAATTCAGCTACAGAATTAGTTTGCAGCATGCTGCTGAGGTGACCGTTGACACACTGCAGAAAAAGATGAAAACCCCAGTGTGAGCCAACAAAGACACACACTCAGATCATTTTAGTTCCATTCTTCATTTATCCAGTACATCTCTGGTTAAAACAAGTGCTTTTTAAAGGAGTATTTTTGTATTTACACCACAGTTGTTGTGTTTAAAAAAATGTTTAAAATGTTGTAGCATTCTTTCTGCCTTGAGCTGCGTTCACACCAAACGCAGTGTGTGTGTCGCCTCAGATGTTTTGCGTACTGTTCGGGACGACCATTTCTGGTCAATTCGTGTGAATCGCGTAATTTGCGCTAGACGCAGAAGAGGGGTCGTGGCTTATTACCGTGAAAACTTTTCAACCTTTGTTTTTTCTTTGTAATCAACCATGGAAGACATAACGGCTCTGTTCAGAGCCATCACACGCGTTATCATTGTATCAAATGATCGTACAGTTCGGAGTACCCACACACAGCTAGCGTTACTATTCATTTATCATCCTTTATGTCTGATCAACAATCACAGGCCATCGTTTATGGCAGGGGGGAATCTCAACGATGATAGGCTATCGCGCTCACAGCGTCACTCCACTTGGTCGCCGAGGTTGTAAGATTTCAACATTCGGTTTTGGTGCGTTTGGCCGTTTTGGTGCGTTTGGCCGTTTGGCGCGAAATTTTGTGACTTTGCTGCAAACTCAACGTAACAAATTCGAGAAACACGCCTCCCTATCTCAGATTCGCAACACTCCAGTCTCATCGCGTCTGTGCCTAGACTTTGTATGTAATCCTGTGTCGCAAAAAATGTGCGTCGCATTTGGTGTGAACATTAGTGCTGCTATTTTGTCTTATTATTTTGTGTGGCATTGAATCACCAGCCTCTTTCAAGTCCAATAGTCCTTTTTACGATTTAGAAGCTACACTTCAAGTGATGCAAAAAATATTTATTATTATTATTTTAATACATTTAAATCTTTGTCTCAGAGATGAAATGGAACAAATGGGGTTAGGGTTAGTAGGCCTATCATGAGATTCTGTGTTTATGGCAGTGCAGTTGAGAATGAAATTGGAACATTAACCTACACGTCATCAACCATCATGAAATAGCTAAGAGGATACAGCTGATACTGTTCTATACAGCCTATCTTTCAATATGTTCCGACTGTTGTTCTCAGTTATGAGCTTATTTTTTTTCTACTGAGAACAATATAATAATCTTATCCATGCAACACTTTCATATACAGAGTCACTTCAAATTAAAAACGTAATTTCAGGGCAATAATTAATTATATTAACTCAAACAAAAGGGAAAAGAATGAAAAAGAATAACAACAAAAATTGGAATTCAAAAGAGAACATACTACAATAAAAAACATGGGATCTAAAAAAAAATCTATTATTATTGTTTTTTTTAGTTTGGCCTGGTCCCGAATGAGCTGGATGGTCCTTACTTGAAGTGGTGAGGCGAGACATGCTGAGCAACGGGGTGAAAATGAAGTCTCTGACATCACAAGATAGGTGTGTGTGGGTGTGCGACAAACCATGTTTGTGTGTCAGAAAAATGGAGTCGAGGGTGGAGAACCTTTGCGTGAAAAGTTTCATTTACACTGTACATGTCAGTTCACATAAGCATGTGAGTGATTATGTTTTCTAAGCACGACAATATACAGCATACACATTCTGTGTGTATGTGTGTGTTTAGACATATGTGTTTGTGCACTGACATAACTGTGTCTGTGTGTGTGTCTGTGTGTGTGTGTGTGCCCTGAACATCTCCTCTGTGCTCCTCTCTAATTACATTCATAACAGCAATCTGAATGTGCAGGGCCCATGGTGAATGTGCCACCCAAGTGTGACTCGCTCCTAATAGGATTCTGGGATATGCCAGCAGTCGACGACAGGGGCCTCGAGTGGCAGACAACGCCCCACGCCTCGGTGTGACAGATACACACGCAGAAATAAATGGACTTGTACTGCACTCAAGGTAAGGACATACACACAGTGTGAGAAGTTCGCATGCCGGTGTCACTGAGGTTTCCTTTCTCTTGTTTCTGTCTATCTCCTCACTCCTCTTTAGCCTTCACCCCCGATGAATTTTGAAGTGAATCGCACCTTCACCACATAGGCGGTGTTGGGGGCGGGTCGACACCCAGCTATTTTTTTCACCATCAACTAACCGTGTTAATCTGGGGTTCATATTAGTCTTCCGCCACTGTGGGTCAGGGCAAGGACCTCGGAGCGCTCTGTTAACATCCATGCTGGTCAGTGAATTACTGTGTTAGGATTCTGATCATATTATGCTTTTTTTTAGGTTTACGTTTTGTGCCTTTATTTCAGATGTGTGTGGGTACATTTGCATAGAATATTTGTGCTTTATCTCATTGTGGCGTTCACATATTCACTTTTAATAATTGCCACAGTCTCTGAACATTCTTGGTTAATGGTTCTGGTCTCACTCACAACTTTTATTATTTTGGGGAAAACCAGGTGAGATAACTTCTCTGACTTAGTCTCCCCAGTGTGTGTTAATCTTACTCGAGTCAGGAAGCTAATGTTAATTTACATATTTGATTTGCTGAGCAGCAACACGTGAGGTGATTCCTAACGCATGAAATTGGTCGGTGTGTTTCCTGCTAGAAAAGCTATACCCGCTGTCCCTGAGTAATTTACACTAAACAATTTCATTAAAAAAAACAGTAAATCTCTGTGTTTCATTTAGTTTTACAGTCTTGGATTACGATGTTACTGTAGGATAACAGCTTTTTACAGTTATTGTATACTACTTTAAAAGAAACAAACAAATTCACATTATCACATCACATTATACACACATTACATGTCCTTGAAACAAATAATAAAGGGAGATTTGTATTACTTATCAACGCTTAAAATGTACTGCATGTTTGAAAGAATAAAAATACAATCTTAAAATCAGTATTGACTAAACTGATCTACCATAACCAAAGACACTGAATTAAATACATGAAAAACATCCACAGTGTAACACTGAATAAAATCACTTACTTAACATAGAATCAAGAACAGTGTATTAAACAACTCATTCACAGTCTATCTAAGAATAGAGACCTGCTATAGACATTCATAGTTGTTTTTTTAAACAAACCAACTCTGAACAGTAAAGAAGGAGGAGGAGTTCACCGCAGCATCTGTCTGGTACCCTCAATCTCTGATTGTGAGGAGGGACTGTAAAACACAAAAAATACTTATTTCAGAATATTACCATATTCATTACCATATTCAGGGATATTACATTGTCCATTTGTAGAGGTTGTATTCTATACGCCTCTAACATAGCATCTGTTTAATAATCTGCAAATTAGCATAAGAAAGAGCTATGTGTTTTCTACCTTCAGGTTTAATTAGGGTTGCCGCACCTTTCCAGGTACGCGGAGACAAGATCTGAGACTTGGAGCGGGTATATGGGATGAGACGTATAGTCAAAAGCCTTTCCTTTGGGACACTTTTACAGCGAAGGTGGGACAGGAGGCCCTCGCTGCACAATCACGCCACTCGGCATCCATCCGTCAAAGTCTCTGCCTGGTTTCTCCTCTCCTGCCTCCAAAGGGATCCGTTGTGAGAAGGCAGAGTTCCGCTGCACTGAGCTGCAGTGTCATGTGGCCTAGCGTGCATATATGACAAATATAACGGCGAGTGCACACTCAAACATGCCTACATGGACATGCACACAGGCATGCAGGCTGCTGGACAGCCTATTAGGCCCCCAGCAGGCCCCTCAACAGGGCTCTGATGGGCTGTGGCATTGATAGACCATCTGTAACTGTGTCACGTTGGATTACACTGAGAGCGAGAGAAAAACACAAAAGGGAAGAAGACGAGGGATGGAGGGAGGGAGAGAGGAGGGGGAGAGCCAGATCAAACCCTCTCCTCCTCCAAGACAGCCTCTTTTTCAGAGACAGGTCCTTATCCTGGAAGAAAAGACTTAATCCCTAACCCCCCCCCCCCCCCAATTTCCCACCTCCCTCCTCCACTTGCTAGTCGCTCTCTCGATGCCCCTGCCTCTCTCTCTCTCTCTCGCTCCGTCTCAGCGCTGCTGAGGGACAGTTGTGTCTCAGCTGTAGGGCTTTGTGTTCCTCCTGGGAACCTGCCTGGGAGATTGATCTGCGCAACGTGAGGAGCACAAAGACCTCGTGGTTTACGCGCCACAGAGCCAGCCGCGTATCAAGATGTAACTGCCGTGGGAGTAGCCATACCTGTCTTATCGCATCACAGCTAAACGGACAGATGACGGGAGGAGGTGGAGGAGGTGGTGCGGCGCACACGGGAGGAGAGGGGGCCGGACACACTACTTCTATTTTATACAGATTGGAGGGAAAAGAGAATGAATACACGTTAGGGTGTAGTTTTTTTGTTAGTAGGATCCCTAAAAGTGAACACAGATGTGTTTTTAGTTATCTAGTAATATAGTAGTATCAGAAAAAAGCAGGTTCCAATAACTGTACTGATACATATAATGCACATCACCAAACACACATATGTATTCCGTTACAAATAAAAGTATTTAGACATGTTTAACCTTTTACATAGTAGTAATAAAAAGGGACAGCGTGTTTCTGACGGTACTCTTTCTGTGGTCTATACATTACGTTTGTGAACCATTATGTTTTCATGACCAAATACTTTTTGTCTGAAATCCCCAAATTAACCAAAGATTTAGCTGTCTGAGCAGAATCACGTTTGTTTCACTTGAGGGACTCACAATCAAAGATCTCATCGGATCAGTGGAGGGAATCTGGTCCAGCTAACCAGCATTGTGAAGTGAGAGAGAACAGACTAATAAGTGAACAGTGACTTGCTGAAATTCCACAATGTCGGTCAAGAATCGTAAAAAACTGCAAAGAATTTTGTTCACTTTCTGTATTGAAGGTTTTATTCAGTCACATCTATATTATTATTACTGCTATATTGCGTAGTATCTCACTTATTCAGTGGATCAAAGTGGGTAAGGTTTTGTTAATGGACACCTGATGCCTGGTTTTCAAATCATTTTTAGAAGTTAATGTGAGCCCTGCTATGTATTGCCTGCTTCACAAGATTTGCACATCACCCACACAAATAATAAGTACCCGGAGGCTCCGCCAAGGCCTCCATGCCTTTGTGATAGATGACATTCCCTTGTCTGCTGTTTCCTCCACCGCACCATTTACACACACACACACACACACACACACACACACACACACACACACACACACACTGCATCAGTGAGATCCGGTCTCTGGCTCCACTGTGCGCTGGTGTATCTGAGAATCCTATTTTGCTGTTCCATTGTGCAAGTGGAGATAGTGGTCCATCACTGAGAGTGCAAGGTCACTGAACACATCAGCACAAAAGAGCCCCATCTACCGCTCTCTGTCCGTGTGTGAAAGTGTGTGCACCCTCTCTCTATCTATCCATCTCCCTGCCTCCCTCTCTCACACACACACACACACTCTCCAGCTCCACGTCACTCCCTCTTATTCATTCACTCGAGGAGCCACGAGCAGACAGCTCCTTGAATGTCGTGACCTCAAATACGCTGAAATAGCCTTCCTGGTCACAAAATATCAGGCCACTCGATCTGGACTCAGAGCTTTGATTCGTCACGACGTGAAGAGGGCAGACTGGCATTGTGGGACTGGGACCGAGGACTCCACGGTTGTGGCGACAGCGTGGAATATGTTGCGATAGAGGGAGACATCTGTTAAAGTTACCATTATCATTGTTTGTCCCCCTTTATGCATTTTTTTTACAGTTTTATCTTGATGATGAGTCATTTTCCAAAACATGACCATAATCTATTAAAAAAAAAAAAAAAAAACAGAGAATGGATAAAAACAGAAGTGTTGTTTACAAATCCCCTATATTCCGTTGCTACTGTAAACACGTTCAGGTTCAGGTACGTCTGTGTTGCTGTACTGCACAGAAAAAAATGCAATCAACATCCCAACGTGATCTCCAAAACTGTTCGTAAAAATGAATACGAAATATTTGACATAGAAATTCGTAACAATACATAATAACTGGCGGTGCTTGGCCATGTTGGCCGCCATGTTGGATTTTTTGAGGGGGTTAGGGTTAGTATTGTATTCTTACAATTTAACATTGATTTCTCGTTAAAAATGCAATCATAACACGTTTATTTTACATCGTTAGACTTCACAAAGTGTGTTTACGGGGTGCAGGTCCCCATTCACTTTGAATAGGGTGACGTCATCAGTTGCCAGTCTGTATTTATTTAGTATGTATCACTACCAGTTTGTATCTTCAATATTTTCGTATACATTTTTACGAACAGGTTTTGGAGATCAGGCTGGACATCCATGAAATGCTGAGCTTTGTGTCTCATCAGATGGGGGGAGCAACCACTATCATGACGATGCTTAGACCCGTGCCATCGTTATCATCACCACAGAACAGCACGCATCATTATCATTAATGATCTGCTTAAGTTAAACCCTCGCTCCGCTACTTTGAGGAGCCTGGCGCATTACAACTACGGAGCCTATATTTAGCATCTCCAAGGAGAGATGTTTTCTATCTCCCATTTCCAAATAGATCATTGCTGAAAATGCTCCTAGAAGTGAAGGAAGTCATGGCTGGCCTGCAACCTGAAACAGACAACAATCCACAGTATGTGGGCCAACAACTGGAAGGGAAATGTGACGTGAAAGGGAACATTAAGGCATGATACATTTTGCCAACATACAGGAAGGAGTTTTCTGTCATTAATCCACTGAGATGTAGGTGGGTCCATATGGATTTTTGGCAGCCAACGCTAGGCTAAGCAAAGACATGGTTTTGCATATGTGTGTGCGTGCGTGTGTGGCAGCACTGCACTACATAAATATTGTAGTGGCTTCTTAACCATCCTCTAGAGTCTCTTCTTGGCAACTGGAGTATGTACTCCAGTACTGAATAATGCATTGGCGAGATGCTGGAAAGATAGTGCTTTATTACAGTTTTAATAATATAATAATAAGTATAATATGAGTTGTTTTCCTCTGAAGCGGCTCAGCAGGGGAAATGCTGCTACTTATTGTGGACCTTTTTTATGGGCAATTCTCCCCACCCCCTTCTCTGATCCATATTTAATAATTCAGAGTCATCTCTCATAGAGGAGAATTGTTTTAAGTTGTGGAACTAGCACAGGGTTATAGGATTTTATTAAGACAACTTTGTTGGTGTTTTGGTTTTCTTTTTGTGCCCATTATTAGTGTTTCTATGGTGATACACATTTTCTTCAACTCAACAATGGAATCTGAGCATTTGATGGATACAACTTTCAAATCAAACTACATTTTACTGATTTTACCATTATAAAATTCAAATCTCAAGTCGTAGCACACTGTTTCCTGCTCCTGTCAAAAATAAAATAAAATAAAATGTGATATAAATAAATGATGTAAAAACCATTTCATGATCACAACAGTGCATTCCAGTTCTGAAACTGTCGCCCAGCCTTTATTTATTATAATATAGAAGCCAAACTTCCTATAAACACACAAACGTGACAAAACATTAAAGCGTGACAGCAGTTTCCCTTGGAAGTCATTAGAGAGGGAAAATACCAGTTGGGGGAATTAACTGTAAGAAAATGGTACAAATCGTGCAGCTCAAAGTCCGTATATAGTTTAGGTGATATAGTGCTGAGAGGCCCAGACTCACGTACCACGGGCACGCTCTTTCATCGGCTAAACAAATGTCTGAGATCTAAAGACTTCTCCCATAGTTGTTATGCTAACCTTGGAGCCACCGGAGACACCCCATTAGCATTTGAAGGAGCTAGCTATTAGCTAAGAAAGAGAGTCCTCCCATTTAAAGGCATGAGAAAGTCGGCCGCCTTTGGTACCTAACCATCTGTGCTGGCGTCTCTCCCTCCACTGCAAACATGACTGCAGGAGCCGCCCGCAGCTCAGACTGCTCACGCCTCCCAAGCTGAGCCCTGCCTCTGGAAATAAGCCTTTTTACGCCACAATAAAATTAAAACATTCAGATAGCCTCCCTCCGTCCAAATAAAGCTGTTTGGGCTCAACACCAAGCAGGCAATTTTCCATGACAAGTCCACGTTTTGAAAACCACTGGGTTCTTGTGTGATTATTTGTGGATGCTCTGCCAAAGCAAACGAGTGGCATGGTTGGATTTAAACTCCAGGAGATGGGGAGGAAGGCGCCACACTACATCAAACTGTCATTCACTCTCACTCTTATCACGAGACCGGGAAATAAAGTGGATTGTGTATAGCTTCTAATGATATTTCCATTTTTTAATGCAAGTAGGTTGTGGCAGATGCGTAAAAATTAAGTAGGTCAATTTTGAAACACCTGTTTCATTTTCATCACGGATGTAAGTTACGTGTTTCGATCGAACGGTTAATCGGTTAAGATCGATTAAGAAAATACACAACCCCCTCGAATGCAGACTGGCTAATCAGCATAGGATTGGCTCGTTCTGACCATATCCAACCACCTTCTGACTCTGTTCCATAGACCCATGATGATGATGATCCATGTGGTGTTCTTCTTGTTTAGGCTGGTTAAATGGGTTATGAGCTAGTTATTGCACGTTGTGTAACAGCAATACTCGTTACTAGCGGAGGAGATCATTACAACCTACACGCCTTTATAAGAATAGTGTTGTTCCTTAACTTCATTTTGTCTTTCAAATGATTTAGAGGCTTGCTTTTACACTGTGATCTGTAGCTTTAGCTTCAATATTTGTCTTTTTTTAACGCGTTTCCACTGGTGAGTCAGTTTGACATGCTGGATGAACCCTATGTCACCTTTCTTGTTTTTCCAGAAATAAGATTTATTCAGATAATGCAGTTAGTGACACTGCGGGCTCTATGGCAGCGCAGCTCGGACAGCTATGGAATAAAAAGAGGTTCACTTTCCAATTAAATGAAACTGAGAAAATTCAGCCTCTGTGCCTTGAGAAATCCGTCGCAAATCAATTATGTGACTTTCTACAAAACAATGCTTTGTTCGAGGACTTCCAGTCAGGATTTTGAGTGCATCATAGCACAGAAACAGCACTTGTGAAAATTACGAATGATCTTCTACTTGCATCGAGACCAAGGGCTCATCCCTTTTCTTGTCTAGCTGGACCTCAGTGCCGCATTTGACACCATAAATCATTGTATCCTGTTGCAGAGACTAGAACTTTTAATTGATATCAAAGGAACTGCACTCAGCTGGTTTAAATCCTACTTATTGGATCGATCCCAGTTTGTGCTTGTAAACGGTGAATCCTCGAAGACCACCAATGTTGGTCACGGTGTCCCACAAGGTTCTGTACTTGGACCGATTTTATTTACCCTCTGTATGCTTCCTTTGGCCGATCTTATCAGGAAACACCGCATAAACTTCCATTGTTATGCAGACGATACTCAACTGTAATAGTCGATCAAACCAGAAGAGACCGACCAGCTAGTTAGACTTTAAGAATGTCTTGGAGACATCAAAACTGCCCCTCAACTTCCTGATGCTAAACTCAGAAAAAACAGAAGTTATCTTGATAGGCCCAGAGTGCCTTGGAAGCCAGCTGTCACGTGATACAGTTTTTATGGATAGAATTGCTCTGGTACCCAGCAGCACCCTCAGGAATCTGGGAGTTCTCTTCGACCAGGATATGACCTTCAACTCGCATATAAAGAAGACTTCAAGGACTGCCTATTTTCATCTACGTAACATATCAAAAATCAGGAACTTCCTGTCTCAAAGTGACGCAGAAAAATTAGTTCATGCGTTTTTTACTTCTTGACTGGACTACTGTAATTCTTTGTTATCAGGCTGCTCTTATAAATCTCTTAAGCCTCTCGAGTTGATTCAGAATGCTGCAGCACGTGTATTAACAAGAACTAAGAAAAGGGATCATTCTACTCCTGTATTAACTTCTCTGCACTGGCTCCCTGTTAAATCAAGAACAGAATTTAAGGTACTTCTCCTCACCTACAAGGCACTTGCTGGTGAGGCACCGTTGTATCTTCAAGAGCTTGTAACACCTTATTGCCCTACAAGGCAGCTGCGCTCCATAGATGCTGGGAAAAGTAGGATGGGAGCCAGAGCCTTCAGTTATCAAGCTCCTCTTTTGTGGAACCAGCATCCACTTTCAGTTCGGCGGGCAGATTCGGTCAGCT